GTGTGTGTGTGTGTGTGTGTGTGTGTGTGTGTGTGTGTGTGTGTGTGTGTGTGTGTAAAATACACCACGGAAACATTACAGGTAAAATTTGGAAAAATATCAATGTGGTGCATTTATTTCATTGATTCAACTTAAAGGGTGAAACAGATCTGTCAGATAGACTCCTTGCATGCTAAGCCATGTATTTCAGCCTTTATTTGTTATAATTATGGCTTACAGTGCATTAAAACCCTAAATTTCATATCTCAGAAAATTTGAATTGATGAATCCGGAACACCTTTATAGGGCTCCTGAGCTTTTAAATGGTCTCTCAATCTAAGTTAAATAACTGAGATAAACAGACTTTTGCACAGTTTTCTGCATTTATTTCTCACCCTGCAGCAAATAGCCTGATCCCTAGTTAGTTTCACTAATGCTTCATAAAGGCTCACTGGACAGGAATCGTTCTGTGTGCAGAAACATAACACAGTCTGTCGCTTTCCAAATGAATGAGTTATAATCTTGAAAAGGTAGATATGTGCTGTGTTGATGTGTCTTTAGAGGACAACGTTTTTCAAAATCATCAAATCAGTTGTTTGTTTTTTTTTTGCAGCCCAACAAGCTTCAGCAGAACAGATTTCTTTTGTTTTTCTGCGTGTCGTGTTGTTGCTGCCTGCAGTTCCAGAATCTGTTGAGTGTTAAAGAAATCCACTCCTGTGAAGAAGCATCTCCTCAAACGCTCCAACATACGAATGACTTCCCAGGAGTCCGCACACTGGTAAAGCAAAGGCATCTGCTTCTGACAAGACGATGGGTTTTGTTTTCTATCTCAGCAACAGAATGATGTTTATCTCTTAATGAGATCTTTCAGGGTTTTTTTTTCTATTTTTAAAGGGATACTATGCAACTTTTCCATATTTAAATAATTTTCTTGAGCCAGTACGTGCTAATACGGCCCTTTACAGGCTTAACGAAACATCACTCAGACCCCTGCTGCCTCCTGTGGCCAGAATATTGAATTTACAACTTCAGGGTGTTGGAGCTGACACACCTGGCGCTGCAGTCTGCTTCCACGTTTCCTGCATGTTTTAGATCATGAACATAGCTGCTTGGTTTAATTTAGTGACAAATCACTCCTTTAGACACTAATGAAGGCTGGGGAAATATTTCAGCTTTTAGATTAAGGTGTTAAAATGACAAATTCACAGCGAGGAGAGGAGAGAAGTTTTGCTTTCGGTTTTCATAAACAGACACTAAAAGAAAGCCAAAACGTCCTAGTCTCCCTTTGAAGTTTCTGTTCGAAGGATTCCGTCAGCAGAAGATGACAGGAACGACGCTGTGGTTAAAATCTTTCCTTGAGAGCTCTTTAGACAGAGCGTGTCGTTATTTGAGCAGTTTTTTGTTTGCAGGGACAGAAAAAGAAATGTGAGGGTGGCTGTGTGAGCACATCTAAAAGCTCGGCTCATACATTTGTTAAAACTGCAGCACGATCTGTGCAATCCGCTCATGTAGGGTGAGCCACCATGATAACACTCCTCTGTGTTTCAGGAATTGTTGGCGAGAATATGAATCATTAAATACACTTATATAATTAAACTGGTAACTTTTTGATCTAATGCCAGTTAGTAGAGCTGTGCATTCTGGCTCTTCACTCAAAAGGAGATGACTTTTTTTTTGTTTTTTGACCTGAATTGTGATGAATGACTTGGTATCCTTTAAGGTTAGAACATAAATCATGGGTTTGGGCTGTCAGATCTTGTCTGATGTGCATTATTGAAGAGTGGCATTGGCAGCCTCTCGGTTTGATCAAGTAAAAAAAATCTGTCAATTTTTCTTAAAAATTAACAAGATTTTCAAAGGCGAGGCTCTCGCGTTGCAGTGTGCATGGGGAAATTTTAATAGCAACATCGTTCAGCCTAAGCACATTAGAAATTTGCTGACAAACATTCTTCTTTGTACATTTGCTTATTTGCTAGGCAAAATGAGGATTAAAATTAATAATAAAAAAATGTATAGTTATAAAGGTGGCATGAGGTTATTTATATCTGTAATCTCAGTGTTCGTCCTTTTGGAATCCTTTTTTTTAACAAATTCCATGAGTGAGACGCCATCTAGTGGTGATCATCCCTCATTACAGTCACTAAAACGAAATTTGTTTTAGTGACAACTGACTATTTATACAAACTATAAAGTTGGATAAATTAAAACACATTTTTGCTTTTATTGATATTGACAGCAAAAGTTAATATTTTATAGTTTTAGAATGTATAGTACAGTATAGTATAGTATAGTATATCTCTGACTTTAGAGCATAAAATGAGAAAGTAAATTGTATGTTTGGGTAACGTTTTTTTTTCAGTTTTTTACATTAAACACCCTTTTTTAATTTCATTTTAAAATCTGTACGTGTACAAAAGGTTAAAATGGAAACGTACAATCAGAATAAACATTCATTCATGAATTGTATTGTCATGTAAATTCCAGCTGTTTCAACTCTAATCAGGCTTATTTAGGAAAACTATTTCACCCTTATAATGAGTTAAATTATAAGTTAGTGTTTATCTTTTATGGCTGAATACTTGACATAAAGACATAAATTGGATGACTCTAAACTTCTAAGTTTGATGTATTATTAATTAAAAAGATAGACCACCTCTCTCTCGTCTTAGCTTCCCTACATTGGCTGCCTGTTAAATTCAGAACAGATAGAAGATCCTCCTTCTCACATATAAATCTCTTAATAATCAAGCTCCACCATACATCAGTGATCTGATTGCTCCATATGTTCCTAACAGAGCACTTAGCTCTCAGACTGCAGGTTCCCAGGATATAGGATCTGAGGCAAATCTTCTAGCTATTAGGCTCCTCTCTTGTAGAACCAGCTGCCATTTAGTTTGTGGTCAGGCACCAAGACTAGGCTAAAAATATTTGTATTTGATAAGGCCTATGGTTAAAATCTGATGTTAGCCCAGATCTGGACAAGAGGGGGAGTAGAGGGAGGTGGAGTGTACAGTCGGTAGACGGCTCTCCCTTGCCCTGCCTCCATCTAAAAGGGTTATCCAGAGTTCTCTGTAGTTATGCTGCTATAGGCTTAGACTGCTGGAAGACATACTGACCACTTTCCGCACTCGACTTTCTTCTACCACTTCTCTCTAACTGCAGTATTTCCTGCTATTTCAGCCTTTAACTTTATTTTTTTCTCCCCAGAAGAAGCTACAATGATGCTCTGCTGAGCCTGTGGTGGCCTCATGGAGGGGCCTGTTGGCTAGCACACTGCTGCTAACCACTTAAACATTCTCCCTCTCCTGATAACATTTTACTCTCTTTGACATGGAATGTGCTACTACTAGTTGAATTATTATAGATTGTCGATGAGCTTAATGAGGTAGTCAACTAAAAAGGGTTTCCAACAGTCTTGAAGGACTGCCTCTTGAAGCTCATCAAGAGAATGCCAAGAGTGCAAAGCAGTAATCAGAGCAAAGCTTTTCTGAAGAAAATAGAAAACATGTTTTCAGTTATTTCACCTTTTTTGGCTAAGTAAAGAACTCCACGTGTTCATTCATAGTTTTGATGCCTTCAGTGAGAATCTCCCAATGTACATGGTCGTGTAAATAAAGACAATATGTTAAATGAGAAGATGTGTCCAAACTTTAGGCCTGTACTGTATCTTTATTATTTTTCTTCAAATTATTCTGTTAAGTGTAGGTGCTGCAGTAACAAGTGGATTTCCCCACTGTGGGATCAATAGTTTATTCTATTGTATTCTTAAAGAGCAAGTCACCCCCTACCAGATTCTTACTCCACTCCCACTTCCTGTTTGAAAAATGCAACAAATGCTGTTGCCTAGCAGACCGAGAGGGTGGAGCCACTAACAAATACACACACGACATTGTGACATCATAATGTACCATCTAACATCATAGTGTACCTCTTAGCCAATAGCGACAGCAGATTTAAATTCAAATGCAGTGCTGAGTTTTTACCTGACGACAGTGCAACACTGACTATTTTAGGCAGAATATTTAAATTTTAACTAAGATGCACTAAAGTGCCGAATCATTGACTACATGTGTCTGCAGCACGATCAGACACTCATTTATATAGTTTATCAGCAAAAAAAAAAAAAAAAAAAAAAAAGTTGATTTGGAGTGACTTGCTCTTTAAATGACCTCAAGCCTGAAATTGGCCTGCAAAAACATTTCCACTAAGAATGACACGGTAAAAGGAGAAATCCTGTAGATTAAAGCAAAAATGCTACAAATAACAGTTTTTAAATGCAAAAAGACAGCGTTTTATTCCACCGGGTCCATCTCCTTTACATAAACACATTTTATTCAGCCTGTATAGGTTACACATGGGGAAAAAAAATCTATTTCTAAGAGAACTACTTCCCTTTGTGGAGCTAATGATATGAATTTTTATCAGCTTTAGATCCCCATTTGGCAGCTTTTAACATCAGCTGCCATAGGCTGCGAGGAATAAGCAGAGTCGCATGCTACAACTGACCTGAGGCTCGTTTTAAATGGTTCTTCAAAAACGACAAAAGAAAAACATTTCCCCTCGTAGGCCAAGAACGTCTTCTCACTAAATGATATGGAATGTTGTTTTGGAAATGAGGGCAAACGTATAAAAACATTTCTGCAGCAGCAGAAAACAAGACAAGAAACAAAAAAAAAATAAAGGAATGCCAGAAATGCGTTCCAACGTTGCTACCGTGTGTGAGGCAAAAATAATAACACCTGCTGCCATGACTCGTCTCAGAAACACAAACATGAACAGAAACCACAACCGTGATAATTAGTAAAGAAGGTGAATCAGCTCAGGGTCTGACAGGTGAGACATGAGCAAAGATCACCTGAACATTAACTAGTGTTAGTCGTTTTGTTGGAAATTTCACAAAGTGCAACTTTTATGTATATTAATTACATCATGACCAATTTTAGAAATTGTCCACTTTCTATTTTATAACAATGAAAAAAGGGGTAATTCCACATATTGCACCCCCCCCCCCCCCCCCCCCCCCCCATTAAACTAAAAGAAAAAGGAATCACTATACATGCTGTAATGGCGCCCACATAATGGTCTGAAACTTGACCACAGCCTCCATGTTGGCTCTTTGAATCTCTTACAGTAAACTGCTACTGTCAGCGTGCGTTTATAGTTAAAATATATATTAATCTATCATTAAATAGGTTGCCTCTTGTACAGTCTTTCATGCACTGAGGAGCATTTTAGGCGAGCTGTACAAGGAGGAAAGGCGTGTGGACGGACTCGCTCAGGCTGTAGGCTCCAGGGTCTGGTTGGCTCGAGTCAGGCCATCTTTAACCACCCTTTACCCCACATTCCTTTGCAACCAAGTCAATCCAAAAGATGGTTCTCCAGTGTGTTGTATTGTTTTTGTTTCTGTTTGTGGATGGAAACATGAGAAGAGTGTGTTTGTGTGTGCGTCCGCTCAACGCTGGTCCAGGACTCGGTTTCACAGATCACTGAAGTTTTGTTCCGAGCTTTCGTTGTCTGTTCCTGAAAAATAAAGAAATAAGCTGTGAAACTGATCTAAAATGGAGGCATCTGCTTGCAAAGATCTTTTTATTTTGGGGAGAAAAATAAATCAGTAAGTTGTTTACTGAGTGCTGATGTTTTAACAGAAAGCGGAAGCAGCTCATTGGAAGTGTTGCACCATTTAGTTGTGTTCGACTAACAGACAGCAACACGCCCGGAAAGCTTTTTGCCCTCCTTACTCGCTGAATTTAATCCGGCATACTTTGGAGATCATGTTTTAGGAGTGGATGGCACAGAAAAGTGAAATCTGAGACACGACATGAAAGCAGTTCTCTCTGAACAACAACAGCAACTGTGGGAACATTAACGCAGATGTGAAAGTCCTGAACAGTAGAACGTCTCCACAAACGCTGATCTAAAACTAATGAATGATTTCCTGTGTTCATCAGTTCTCCTGCAAACAAAAACCCAGCAGGAAGAAGTTCCATTATCAGTGATCTAGATGCAATTTAGCACATTTTCTTGCAAGTTTGTAACTTTCTATTAAATCATCAGTACAAACAGGTGATGGTGACAAGGCTGGACATCGTTTGATTTAGAACGATTTCGATTCCAATTCCTCGTTTCGATTTCGGTTCCTATCGATTTCCGATTCCGATTCTTTCAAGACCTGACATGTTTTACAAGAGCCAGCTAACTGCAGGTCCTACTTGATGAAATAATCTTAACTTCAACATGAATTTTAATTCTATGAACAACAACATCACCTTCATTTAGACAAAAACATGTTTTGGAGACAAAAAGAAAAAGACTTGCAGCACAACCAGTGTGTTTGTTTCTGACCACAACCGAAGTGTGGAAGAAGCCTCTGGGATGAGAGGCTAAATGTCTCCAACATATCCAGAAACGTCCAGCTGTTTTCAGCTAAAACTCTCAGGATGATCATGTCCAGGATGACTGAGAACTACACCTCCATGCTGCAGCAGCATTCATTCAGAACAGGAAGTGAAACTTAAATGTAGCTGCTGTCAGTAACAATCTAACAGATTTTACACATTAAAACTCAACAGAAATAGTTCAGAAAGGAAATTTAAATGTTCACAGCTTTGTGTGTGACTTATTATTATTATTATTTATTGTGGCAGAAGCTGGTGTGGTCCTCCACAGAGAAAGCTGCTCTAGCATGATGACTTTAATTATTCTACAGGTTATTGTTCAGCCTTCTGATGCTCACACACACACACACACACACACACACACACACACACACACACACACACACACACACACACACACTGTTGGTGAGCGGCTGCGCCTGACACTCCGTGTGCGTTTTTATTTCTGCAGTGAGACAAACTCACATCTCACCGTCCAGAGTTTGTTCTTTAAAGCTTCTAGTAAATCCACCGTGTTGACGTATTGTAACAAGTTTCCTCTACGCTGCAGGAGTTAAAGTTTACATTACGGAGTAAAAGTCCGGCAGACGCGTTTGTTTATATTTGGCTGCTGCGCTCCGGGTGGGGAGGGGGGACTTGGTGCTGCACACAGACAGCTGGTGTGATCAGCTCTGAAAAACACTGATCACAATTTGCAGATCACGTTTACTTTTCCACAGAGATCGGCCGTGGATTCCTCTTCCGGTCGGCATTCTAGAGATCGGAACTGGGAATAAAAAAATAATAACTTTGAACGATGCCAGGAAAAACTAACAGTAAGTCCCGATTCCAATCGGTGCCCAACCCTAGATGGTGACAACATTTACCACAAAGAACATTTTTAAAAGCACCAGATTAGGTTTGTATCAAGAGTCACAAAAGCTGGATATGAACCAGCCAGTGTTCACATGCATATCAAAGCCAACCTACGGCAATACTCTAGGAGTCTTTACTCCCCTAGTGGAAGTGAAACAGACCGAGTTAAAAAGGATATGCTCAGTGACCGAAGGAATGAACAGCAATGCTGCAGTACAGACTACTTAGTACATACTGATGTGATGTGATGGTGTTACATTGTGGGGACATTATTGCTGAAGTGGTCTTGTCACTTCTGGATAGGGCTGGGCAATAAATCAAAAATGTATCGTTATCGAAATTTCTGACTCTTATCGTGATCATTTTCCCCGCGTCAATAGATGTGATAATAAAAAAATGAAAAGGTGTGTAGGCTAGCAGCGTTCATGTCCCTTTAAGAAGCTGTACCACCTTGAATCACGTAAAAATGTAACTCATGTAATACATGTGACGTTTGTTTCTGTACATACGTGTAGTTATCGTCCAGCCCTACTTCTGGAAGTAGACGGTTTAGCTCAACTGAGCCATTTACATGCAGATGAAATCAGTTTCATAACAAATTTTATCTGGGTTCGTCAACTCAGTTAGAAGCAGTTCATCTTCAGCCAGACTAACGCGTTTACAAAAAACAAGTTTGGTTTTCTGATAGGGCTGAACGATCTATCGTTTTTGGACCAAAGTTGCAATTTCAACTACTAACTGGCTGATTTCTAAAGCTTGGTTTATGCTTCATCAGCGCGAGTGCGGAGTCGCACACTTTAGTTAACTTGAAAGCTCAACTTCTATTTTAAAAATGGTTTGAATTCTCTGATGGCACACGTTAGTTCAAACAAGCTAACGTGTCAGAGCGTCTCTTGCGATGCGTGCATCTCTCAGGGAGCTGACTGCGGCATAAGCTAGGATTTATAGCAGAGTTTAAGTGAGGAAAAGCGTGCAGCCAGCCTGCTTTGATAATGCAGGGGAAACTGTGTGCACTTTGTTATTTAAAACATTTGAAAGCTGTTTCTACCTTCAGATTTCGTCCTTGCATTTTTGGAGAACAAGAGCATGTTTTTTATGAAGCACCTTAGATAAAAATCACAAGTTGCTTCACAAGCACATAAAAAAAAGATATTGGGAGAAAAAATTAATAGCTTTAACTGTTTTTATTGTATGAGATAGTAAATATTAAAGTGAATGATTTGGTGTACTAAATTAGAATCTAGACCATCTTTTCACTTCATATACAGGATGGCTTGGCAGGCTAGTGTTGGGCCTTATTGAAGAAAATCGTAAACTGAACTGGAATCGCAATTTCTGCTAGAAAAATCCCAATTCAATCTTTTCCTAAAATCGTTCAGGCCCGGAATTGCTAAGACCCCGAGTAAAAGGCCCCAGGCTTTAGCACAGTCTCACCTCGCTTCTGATCGGGTCACTGTATACTCGAACCATAAGATGTTGGGGATCAAGCTTGTGTCCCTCACCAGGAAGTACTCCGATACTGGCCTATTGAATGTAGAGAAGCAGGTGAAAGATTGAGCAGTGGTTAGACCTAGTCACAAAGAGAGGTCAGTAAAATGAAAGTGTTACTTACCATGCTGCAATTTTGGGGAATAACGGTGTCAGCACCTCCTGTGTGACGAAGAACCAGAATATAGCCATTGTACTGCCAGCTACTCCACCATAGAAAACCTGGCTCCATGTGTGATACAACAGGTAAACTCTGAAAATCAAAAATCGATTTGAAAAAGGAAAAATAATCTTTTTAAGTTCCCTTTGATCCTGCATTATGAAGCAAATCCTTACAAGAAATTAATTCACTTTAAATCTACATTTAGGTGAATTACCTGCTGTATGAGACCGACAAGGCCATGCCCAGCAGGAAAATAGACAGTATGTGTCTCCACAGCAGATCCACACATCGAGCATTGTTCGTTTGATGCATTCTGAAAGATCAACAGGTTAGGTTTCAACTACATTTCTTTAAAAGGCGATTAAATGATTAAAAACATCCCTGTACTGGCCTTAAAAATAAACCATCAAAACACCAGATGCACATGACTATGAATTCACTGCGTTTAAAATGCAGCCATTTATTTTATTTTGAAATCCCACCCCCCAAAAATGTAAGAAAAACAAATCAAACTCACCTTAAATATAGAAAAAGAAAGAAGTAAACAACAAAGAACCAGGTAAGCTGGGAATGGTTAGAGGGCATCCCGTATTCTGTGTGCACAGTTGGGTGAACCCCTGCAGGAAAACAAGATCATACACAAAGAATTAACACAAAATACGGAGCTCTTTGTAGGTTGCTATATAAATTCAGAATCACTTTGGTCAGGGTGAGTCTATTAAAGTAAGTTTGCACAACTACTAGATCCAGACAAAAAAAGAGACTTGATTTAAAAACATTTGCATATTAAATCAAATCAATTCTGCTGTAAAAGCTATTGTTGCTTTACTCGACTTGAATGTGAACTACTTTTTGATTTTCACTGTACTTAATAGCATCCATGCCTTCGTCTCATCCAGAATTGACTATTGTAATAGTCTACTACATAATCTACCTCGTACACACATACAAAAATTTCAGTATGTTCAAAACTCAGCTGTCAGGCTTCTTTCACACACCTGTAGTAGGTAACACATAACCCCGGTTTTAAAAGATCTTCACTGGCTTCCAGGTCAACGGTGTATTCAGTTCAAGATATTACTCATCACTTACAAAGTTCTTAACCTTGCCCCATCATCTCTCTGACCTTCTTTGTCATTACCACCCCCTCCCGTCATCTCAGATCTTCTGCCTCCAGCCTGCTCTCTCAGGTGGCCACATCAAAGCACCACACCATCAGAGACTAAACTTTTTCTGTTGCTGCCCCTACCTTATGGCATTCTCTCCCACAACACATCCACAATGCGGACTCACTACAAAAATTCAAAAATGCACTAAAAACTCACCTGTTAAACAAAATATTAGAATCACATTAACCTATTCTCATTGCGTTTATTTGTCTTGTCTATCTCCTAGTTGTACAGCATCTTTGAGTTGTTGTGAAAAGCGCTTTATAAAACTTATTATTATTCAAGTATAATGAAATTCTACTATACTCACAAATAGGATTTCACAAAATGCATGAGAACTTTAGAGCATAAATTATGCAAAAGAAAGAGTTGAATCCTCCAAGATCCCATTATGTTGTTATGATGTAGATTTTAGGGAAAGCTTCCGACCCCCATCTAAGGAAAACATCTTGTTCCTTCACTTACCTGCACAAGGGCGTGGCTCTCTGAGAATGTGTTTGAGCAGCCAGTTCACTCCTTCATTCAGGAGGAGTCCAACAAAGAATGATATCTGATTAAACAAAACAACAATAAGCCCTCACAAACATCTGCTGCTTTATGACACTGCTACTCAAAAGTGCCAGAGAAGTAACCAATTAGAACAACAAAATGTACATGAATAATAAGACTCACTGTGTGCAGTTCCCGTTTAAACACTATGAGTGTGACAAAACCCACTAAAATAGCGATGGGTAGGAGACTGATGTAGGCCAACAGCTTCCCTGTGAGGTCACCTAAAACATGGTGACATAGATCTGATGTTATAACACATAAAACACTGGTGAAGTCATTCAGAACTGGCGGACTCCAGGTGAATACGGACGCTTCACATATTTTGTTACTTACATTACTTTAAAACATGCAAAACGGCGTAGTTTAGTCTAGGTCAAATTGACTCGAGACATCATTTTATCCTATCGATTTAGAAAACTCGGTAAAATGTCACGTGATTCATGTTAAGACTTACCAGGCCATGGAACTGAACGCTAGCTAGCAACACAATGCTACACGAGAAGACGGCTATTATTTACAGTCTAGCTATAAATGTGGTAACGTTAACATTGTATACAATTTTGTCAAATTCATTACAGGACATGGCACATTAAATCATTATTGAAATAAAATAAAGCCCATAAAGGCAGCTCGGAGGCTAGGCGGCTAGTTAGCCTTCATTGTGAGCTCTGTTACAAACTGCGCATGCGGAACTGCCTCACAATTTTGCAGACACCCATTGAGCTCATTTAACCAGGAGCTCACAATTTGGCAAGCGTTTGCGGTTGTGGCCATTCAGTAGCAGCAAAGCGTGCACACGGCTCGAAATTTTACAAAACAACAGACGGTCCACAAAACACATCTTAATATACAACCGCTCTGAGTTTACTAACCTTCAGGGAACTCTACGTGTATCACGGATATGGCCTGCCATCGAGGTGGTGCCGAGCACTGCTCTTCAAACGCCATCTTACCCGGACACAACCGGGGTAGCCTCTGTGGAACGCCCGAGGCCCAGATTCAACCAATGACGAGTCGAGTTGTGTCTTCAAACGGTCTCCGGCAGCGAAGCAGCCGACCAATCACAGCGAGGCGCTACAAAATAATTATTTTTATCCATAGAGAAGAATTATTGAATGAAAAAAAGTTAACCAGTATTTTTCTGCTGCTTGCTGCACTCATTCAGAAAGTAAAATACATAAATTATTTATATCATAAAATAAGTTATTTACAACCGAGGGGAACGTAAGAAGGCCTAATTTGAATTTGAGCTAATTTAGACAAATGTTTAAACAAGAGATCTTGCAAGCTTATTCGTCAAATTAAATTAACAAGACATTGTTACTAGTATCTATCTATTTATGGTAAATGCCTGAGGGGAATGACCAGAAGTACAGGTCATCGTGGACTTTGTGGATTGGCGACAGCATAACGACATTTGCTTGAACACCATAAGACAAAGGAAATGGTGATTGACTTCCAGAGAAACACTCCTCCTCACTCACCAGTAAACATCCAGGGAGCAGACACTGAGGTGGTGCATACCTTTTAGTTCCTGGGTGTTCACCTCAACAATAAACTGAACTGGTCCAACAACACAGATGCTCTGTATAAGAAGGGCCAAAGCCGCCTCCACCTCTTGAGGAGACTAAGGTCCTTCTGAGTTAATTCCCAGCTGGTAAAATCCTTTTGTCACTATGTTGTTGGCTCTGTTGGGGTGCAGGCAGCTCTGACCGAGACAGGAATAGGCTGAACAACCTAGTTGACAGCTCCTTCAGAGGCAGACTGAGACATCCCAGATGTAAAACAGAACGCTACCGTAGGTCATTCATCCACTCTGCAGTAACAGTGTATACATCCTCAGTTTAAGTTGTACTGGCATTATCTTGTTACACAATATCACCAATGCAATATTCATTATGTGTTCAATACTCATTCAATACCAGATTTACATAGAATGTGTATGTCTCTTACAGTATGCTGCATAGTGTTGGAACCCAATTTTTTATCTTTTTATTTCGTGGTTTTTAGTGGTCGAAGGTTACATTACTAGACTACTGCCTATATGTATAAATACATGTACCTTTATTATTATGTTTCTTCAAATTATTCCCTTAAGTGTTGGTGCTGCTGTAACAAGTGAATTTCCCCACCGTGGGTTTAATAAAGTCTATTCTATTCTATTCTATTCTAAATGTTAAATGGCCTGTATTTGTATAGTGCCTTCTGGGATTCTCCAACCCCCAAGGTGCTTCACAACACAAAAGGTCATTCACCCATTCACACACTTGTGATGATGAGCTATGGATGTAGCCACAGCTGCCCTGAGGTGCACTGACAGAGGTGAAGCCCACCGAACAAAGGCATCACTGGTCCCTCCGACCACCACCAGCAGGCAAGGCAGGTTAAATGTCTTGCCCAAGGACACAACAGCAAAGGAATTGAGGAATTTCAGTCCAGTTTTAGAGAGTATCATAGCACTAAAACTGCATTGGTGAAAGTTACAAATGATGTTCTCATGGCCTCATAAGAATCTTGTGTCTTATTCTAGTCTTGCTAGATCTCAGTGTTGCCTTTGACACAGTAGATCACAATGTTCTTTTAGAAAGGCTTGAACATGTTGTAGGGATCAAAGCAACAGCGCTAGGCTGGTTTAAATCCTACCTGTCTTGTTGCTACATTCTCACTCCCAGCACGTCAAAAACAAACACTTGGTCAGCCACCCTCGGCGTCAGACCCCTGACGCCAAAAGTGCCCTTTTTCGTCACTTATGTGAGAAAAGGATTATTTCCCTTTTCTGACTGCTGATCCCAATTCAGCGTAAAACTGACGTGATGGGATGTCCGCAGCCAGGGCACCAAACAAGCTCATTGTACCTCACCCTAACCTTATCCTCTTATTTAACCTTCCCCTCACCCCTATCCTAACCTTAACCATCTTGCTAGCTAACACATTAGTGATGTGTCGGTCGCTATAAAAGCCGGCTCTATGAAGTGAACGGCAGGAGCCGCCTCGTCATTGGTCGGGTTTGGACCGAGGCAATGCGAGGGGGAGGTTTCAACTACCAAGGTGGACGTTAAAAGTAGAGGGTATTTGTAACCTCCCCCTCGCCAGATGGTATGTTCTAACGTTCCCCTTGGGTGGCAAATACAAAAATTAACAGTCAGAATGCATGGGAAACAAACACTTGATCACAGTGGGAGTAATGTTTTATGTAGCAAGAGGGGTAAGGTTAGGATGAGGGTGAGGGGAAGGTTATAAATAGCAAATCGTTAAGGTTTACGTGTGGTTAAATGAGCTGGTTCTGTGCCGCATCAGCGGACATCCCATCGCGTCAGCTGTACGCTGCATTGGGATCTGCAGTCCGAAAAGGGCACTTTTGGCGTCAAGGGTCTGATGTGGAGGGTGGCTGACCAAGTGTTTGATTTTGACGCGCTGGGAGTGAGAATGTGTTGGTCTGATAGATTTCATTGTATAAATGTACATGGCAAATCTTCATCGTACTCCAAGGTTACTTGTGGAGTATCACAGGGTTCAGTGCTTGGACTGAATGTTTTACTATACATACATACATACATATATATATATATATATATATATATATATATATATATATATATATAAATATATATATGCTTCCAGTTGGTAAAATCATTAGACAGCATGGGATAAACTTCCACTGTTTGGCTGACGATACTCAGTTGTATTTATCCATTAACCCTGATGAACCTGATCGGTTGGGTAGATTGCAGGCTTGTCTTGAAGACATAAAAAATTGGATGACTCTAAACTTTCTGCTTTTAAATCAAGACAAGACTAAAGTTCTCACCTTTGGATCCGACATTCGGAAAAGGAAATTGCTTAGTCAATCAGTCAACCATAGGAGCCAATTCACCACCAGGTAGTGGTCAGTTGACAGCTTCACCCGAGTGTCCAAGTCATGTGGCTGCAGATCAGATGAAACGACAACAACGATGATCATCGAGCTACAGTATCCTGGTGCCAAGAGCACATATGGACACCTTTATGCCTGAACGTGGTGTTTATTATGGACAATCCATGCAGAGAAAAGAAGTCCAATAAAAAAACACCACTCAGATTCAGATCAAGGGGCCGTTCCTCCCAACCACACCTCTCCAGGTCTCACTGTCCACATGAGAGTTAAAGTCTCCCAGTAGAACATTTTGGTAATCTTTTTTAAATAGTTCTAAAGTTATCCATGCCATCAGAGGCTATGAGCTTCTTTGTACTTGGTTTAGTTTCATTCTTGTTCTGCAAAGACAATTTGTGGTTATTTATTCATTTATTCTTGCAGGCACAGATCCTCATCTGTGCCCCACACAAGCTGGTTCCCAAAGCCAGAGACTCTCTTGGTCAGCTTGCTTCTCACACTAAATCCTCCATCAGGAATCTTGGTGTGACCTTTGACCCAGCTCTCACCCTGGATTCTCATGTCAGTTCTCTTGTTCGCTCTTCCTTCTTCCATCTCAGGAACATTGCTAAGCTGAGTCCCATTCTGAACTTGAGACAGTTCTCCACACCTTCATCTCCTCACGCTTAGACTACTGTAACTCTCTTTTCATGTGTCTGAGCAGAACCTCCCTGAACCGTCTACAGGTGATTCAGAATGCCTGTGCTCGGCTTCTGACCAAGTCCTCCAAACACACCCACATCACCCCGCTTCTCCTTCAGCTTCATTGGCTGCCAGTTACCTTCAGGGTTCATTTTAAGATCCTGGTTCTGGTCTATAGGGCCTTACATGGACAAGCACCATCTTACATTGGTGATCTTCTTAGTCCCTACACCCCCAGCAGGTCCCTGAGGTCCAGTGATCAAAGCCTACTGGTTGTGCAGCACCAGGCTAAAGACCAAAGGTGACAGATCATTTGCTGCTGTGGCCCCCAGACTCTGGAACTCTCTCCCCCTGAGCCTGAGATCAGTGGACTCAGTGGTCTCCTTTAAAACACAGCTGAAAACTCACCTGTTCAGGCTGGTTTTGGTGTGACCTTCTTCACCCTCTCCTTGTTCTGCTCTCCCCACCTATTCCACCTTCCTCAGGATCCACTGATTTCCCTCTTTCCTTTTCACACTTGCTCTTTCTTTACATTTTTTAATCACAATTGTCAATTTTTTGCTCATTGTAAATATATTTTTAATCATTTTCTAAATTATTTTTTATATTCTTACACTTTTTTGTTTTTGTGAAGCACCTCGTGATTTTTATCTTGAGAGGCGCTATAGAAAAGATATCTTCTTCTTCTTCTTCTTCTTCTTCTTCTTCTTCTTCTTCTTCTTCTTCTTCTTCTTCTTCTTCTTCTTCTTCTTCTTCTTCTTCTTCTTCTTCTTCTTCTTTTCTGTGTCTGTATCAGAAATGGCCACCAGGAGGAGGTGTCGCTTTACTGATAGCTCTGATCTCATGTATTCTGTCCACACCATGGGCTACTAAAATCAAAAACCTCTTCATCCTGCAGCGTCATTACAGCTTATGATGACAAAAATTTTTATTTATTGGTTTTAATAGAAATTTTGTTGTTTTTATTTGTCTACTTTAGGTTTAAGAATTGTCTGCAATGCTCAGTGCTCCTAAATTAAAAGGTCTCCAGAGATTGTAATCAGAAATCCATCTCATCCCAGTGCAGCCCCAAAACAAATTTCCTTTCTTCTCGGCAGGAGATTACATTGCTTGGAGCTGATTGGAATTAGCGTGTTCTCCCAGTGTGTGCATGGATTTTCTCCATCTACTGAGGGTTCCCTTAAAGGGGCCACAGTTGTGTTCATGCTGCATGTTCAACTGCACACATTCCCTATACACTCAGCTGATTAAACACCATGTCTGTGTGCAGGTGAGTCGGTGAGACTTTCAGATCAGCATCCTGAATGTGCAGACTCTAGATGCTTGGTTTACCTTTATACATGTCTGTTTAAGTATTTACAACATACCAGGAATAGGACTAGGATGCAGTCTGACATGCAGACAGCACAGTGGTGGTTCAACAGCACAGACACAAGCAGGGTTCAGCTGGTTCA